GTGAGGATTTTGTAATCCAGCTTCCACACAAGCTAGAGGGCTTTTCCCTGCTGCTGTATAGGTAGAGAGACGTGACTTCTGGTTGTTGGGGAGAATACCGAACGTGCCTCTCTGTACCTGCGTCCTGAATTTACTGATTAGTCTCCTGAGGTTCTTTAAGGAGTCGGACTGTGAACCAAGGACGCTCCAGGGAGGAGAGTCTTTTTAAAAGGCAGATGCCCATGGGAAGCTGTTCCTATCATGTCTGAACTTGCTTGAAATTCTAAAGACTGCTGTAGCTGACCTCTGAGTGAGACTATTCTTTCTCTCCTGGCTTGAGATGAGATTCATCTTGGTTCAAAATGAAGGGCTCATTCACTCTTGTGTATTCTTTGGTGCATTCTAATCTGTCTGATTACTCCAATTCCTGTTGCCTCTTTGCTTGGATAAGCTTGTGTGCTATTGACGGTGATCTTTTGTGTAACCAGCATGTGGCGGGAAAGAACTAAGGTGATGAGTGTAACTGAGGGCTTTCTTGTTGTTAAGTCATTTCAGCTGCATCCAACTCTTGGTGACCCCATTTGGGGTTTTCTTGGCAAAGACACTGGAGCAGTTTTGTACTCCCAGCTGTGTAACCCTGGGCAAGTCACTTAACCCTGTTTGCCTCAGTTCCCTAGCTGAAAAATGAGCTGGAGAAGGAAATGGCAAACCATTCCAGTATTTCTGCCAAGAAAACCTCACATGGGATCACAAAGGGTCAGATATGACTGAACAACAACTTCCCAACTCCAGATCCAGGGCTCTATCCACTGAGCCACCTAGCTGTGTTAACAGCAGTAGTAGTTAACAGCAGGGGCAGCTGTTGACTTGCCCCTCCCAGGTCCAAAGGGAGAAGACAGAAAACGGGTGACGGATGGGTTGTAAAGACTGTCCTTCATGGCTGTGGCTCACCTATGTTTGTTGGTGCATGAGAAAAAAGAAGGTGTGGCAGAGAATGTAGAGAGACTGATTTTCCAAATCCCTTTCCCTTTGACCTCTTTTTGAATGGATGGGACTGAAGCCCATTTCAGAGCTCATTCCTTTACTCTGCAATCAGTCGTTGGGTAGGTTTTTTTAATTGACCTCCTTTTTATTTGTCATAAACATGTGTAGCCGACCTAGACATGTATTTCATCATGTCCCTCTGTTCAAGGTGTGAGTGTGCAGTGGGGAGGCTCTGGCCGTTTTAGCTACACAGAAGAGTATTGACTGGGAAGCTTTCTTTCTAGGTCAGGGCTGGAAAACCCTGGCCTATTGTTAGATAATCCTTCTCAAACTGAAGACCAATGCCACCAGCCATTTATCCAACCCACACGTTAAATCAGTGCCAGATCTGATGAGCCCTGATCTTTGGTTGGTTAGACTAACATCAACCAACCGAGCATTTGTTAAGTGCCTACTACATGCCAGGCACTGGGGATACAAGTACAAGGAAAGAAACAACCCCTTCTCTCAAGGAGCTTATGTTCCACTTAGGGAGAAAACAAGGACATGTAAAAATAAATATAACATGATGTATGGCTATATATCTGTGTGTATGTACATATATAGCCACATGTAACCTTATATATGTACATATATTCACAAATATATATAAAACCATCAAGGAGACACCCTAGTCAGAAGCAGGACTAGAGGAGCTTAGGTGAAGTGCTGCCCTCCAAGCCCTTCCCCACTCTGAATTGTGTGGTCACCCAGCCTCTCCTTGACCTCTCTAAGATTATCCAGCAACCATGGCCACCATACTTGTCTGCTCAGACTTAGCTAACTTCCCTATCCATCAAAAAAGAACCTTTCTGGGGCAGCTAGGTGGTACAGTAGACAGAGCACTGGCCCTAGAGTCAGGAGGACCTGAGTTCAAATCTGGCCTCAGATACTTGACACTTACTAGCTGTGTGACCCTGGGCAAGTCACTTAACCCCAATTGCCTTAAAAAAAAAAAAAAAAGAACCTGTCTTAGGAAGAATTCTCTTGTTTGAGGTCTCCTAGACATAGTCTTAGTTGATGGGAAGAGAGCCCTGTTCCAAGAGGACCAGGACAGCTGGGCAACCAGGCACATCAGATGTTCAAGATGCTTCAGTGGGTTTTCCCACAATAGTTTGTGCCCGCTGGTTTTCCATGATGCTGTATGTATGTGATGTGGGGTGAAATGCTTGGGATTTGAAGTCAGAGGACCTGTTGTTCAAATCCCTGCTCTGCTCTAATTCTGTGATCTTGGATAAATTCCAGAGGCAATGGGGGCAGTGATTTGATTCCAATTCTGAAAGCAATGGGTGGAAATGCCCCTGTGGTCTTTGGGGAATCCATGAATCCCCTCACCACAGGGTTGCTGAGTTGTGTAACTTTCCCATCTAGTATCAGTGCCCCACTCAGCACTATGAATTGGTCCAACACATTCTCCAATATTGGCTATTTGCCAAGTGAGAGAAGTACCATTCGGGATTCCTGGGCCACATGAAAGCTTGGTGAGGAGGACATATAGTATGGAGGAGGACCCAAGGGGGACACCAGCCCACCATGGTCCATCTCAACACTGGAACAGGTCCTCAGTGGGGTGGGATTTCATCCCTGCTTTGTTTGCAGATTTTCAGCTCGCTAGTACCTTTTGGAGACAGGCCAAAGTATCCCAAGGCACCCCGTGAGCTGCTGGAGGTGGACAGTACATCTGTGAGCACAAAGCATGCTTTATCCTGACTCCCATCTTCAGCTGCCCAGACCTTCACCAACAATGACCTCATCATAGAGATCAAAGTAGCCAATGTCACAGTAGAGACCATTGTCCCTTGGGTCACGACACCCTCTAATGTGCCACAGACTTGTGTGTATTTCCCTGGTCAGTAGATCTCAGCAAAACACTACATGGTGGTGGCATGGTGCATCGGAAAGAGCCTTGGATTTGGAATTAGAAGGGCCTAGGTTCAAATCTCAGCTTTCCCACTTGAGAGTTACGTGACCTTGGGCAAATCACTGAACTTGTCTGATCCTGTGTAAAAAGAGGATAGGACCAGAAGAGCTTCCAAGGCCCCTTCCAGCTCTAAATCCATGATTCTATCTGCAAGAAAGAGCGACTCCTGGCAAAGGCCCGGTCTGAGGCATGGAGATATTATCTGGAAGGAGTTCAATAACTTATTATCACCCATACCAACCAAGGGAACCTTCAGACAACCCATCAGCTTAACCCGTCAGCTCTTGAAGTCACAGAACAGGAATTGGAAGAACCCTCTGAGTCATCTGTTTGGTTCAACCCCTTCAACTAATGGTGAGGAAAATGGAGTGCAGAGGTCAAAAATTTGCCCAAGGTCACACGGGTAAGAAGTTGCAAAGCCAGGATTCGAACTCTGTTCCTTTGACCCCAAAGCCAGTCTGTTTTCCATAGCAGATCCTCTGAGTGCTGATTTGGTGGGAAGCCACACCTAGCAGGCAGATGTGCCATTGTGGAAACTTTAATAGTGCTGCTTTAGCCTTCTATCGGGTTACAAAGTGCCATCTTCACAATCACTCTGTGAGACGGAGCACCCCACCCCAGTAAACAAGGACACAGACACTAAAGCCCTCCCAAGAGCAGAGTGACAGGGCCAGGAGGGCTGGAGCGTCTGATGGGGGGGGGGCCAGAGGACCCCAGGAAAGGTTCTGGTCTGCCACCTCTCCCTCTGCCTCTTTTTCAATCTGCAACGTGGGAACGGTGTAACCGCCTCTCAGAGATGGAGGATCATTCTATGCAATAAGAACATGAACTGTTTAAAGCATCGTGGAAACTCACCCTGACATCAAGTCCAAGGCAGTTTCTACCCCACCTTGCTCAGATCTTACATTTTATTATCATTACATATTTTTAATGATTTATTGCTTTTTAAAAAATTGATTCTGACTTTGACAAAGAGCAGCTCAAAAGAACATTTCCATATACAAAGAACAGCAAAGAGGTTGGTGCATGGGCCCCCAAACCCAAATAGCCATAATGTACAGCTTAGTTTTTATTTTGTTAAGAATATAATACATTCTTTACTACTTTCTAGTCAACTTCAGTGTAACGGTGTCTTCTCTATCAAGCTCCTGCTGCTGTTTACAGATCAAGCAACAAGCACTTATTAAATGCCTACTGCATGCTAAGGGCCATAGCAGCCCCTGGGAATAGAAAGGCCAGAGTTAAGCAGCTCTCCGTCCAATGAGAAAAGGAATGAGAAAGTGCTTTGAGAAGTCCTTAGATGGCGCAATCTATACACAGGGGGAACGCTTAAGTTACTTCAACTTTCTGGGTCTCAGTTTTTCCTCTTCTATGAAGTGAGAGATTGGCATCCAGCATTTAATGAATCTATTGTTATTTATAAAAGCAGGTGACAGTGACTACAGCAATAGAAAAGAAAATATTTCTACAAGGAGGCCAGACCTGGGAACACATACCTCCCTTCTCGGAATAGGTGGGGGCCTGCTAGGGCAGAACGTTGTGTATCCTACCAGATGTGCTCAGTGGAGGAGAGGTTTTTACTTAACCATTTTTCTTATAACAGAGTTTTCCATTTGGGGGAGGGGGAGGAGCAAAAGAAAGGCAGATCTTTCCAGAAATGACTATGATGTAGGAAACAAAAACAGAAGTAAATTTTTTTTTAAGGTGAGAGTCAGGCTGGCTAAACCTTGGGCATGCCAGTCCCCCCAATATCCTTCTGCTTTTGTGACCACAGCTTGAAGCAAATTGAAGGTTCCCCAATTTGTACAGGGCCTTAAAAAACAGACACAGCTCTACCCAAGGCACTGGCCAACACAGGCTATGCCATTTTGAGCTTCCGTCAGTGCCTGGGGAGTTCTCACCCTGCAATATCCCTCTGCCTCATCAGTCCCCTTTTTCCCATTGGTCAGTTCCTTTTGGGGTCTCCATTTTGGGGATGAAGGTCCAGGCAGCTCCACTTCTCACTCATAAGGACTTTACCACTGTGCCTCAGTTTCTGCCTTCCCTAGAACTTTCCTTCTC